GTGAACCAAGGTACCACTGTATTTTATTGAAGAAATGTCAAAGATAACATGTCAAATTAAATACTGCTAATCTGAACCATGATTTAGCATAGCCCCATTTCCAAATGCATAACTGCATGTGGCTTTTTAGTGTAAAATTTTTAATGTAGGGTGCTTAATTAATTTGATATATTTACTAAATGATGTGAAGTCAGAGCTCTTTACAATCCTTTTTCCTCTTTTCCCTTTTTCTTTTCCCTTTACATGGTTATGTGCATCTATCTTTGGAACAAAGACAAATAGTGGTATCAATAAATATGTTTATAGCTTTATAGTTAATTCTTAAGACAACATAATGAACTTAGTTCTGTACATTTAATTAATTAATTTTAAATATTATGATAATTATACTTTTTGTTTATTTACTGATATTTTATTCTTATCCACCATGTGTCCTTTTTTCTTTTATGTAGTTATTTATTCTGTTCCTTTGCGTTCTAATAAATAAATTATTAAAAAAACCCTCACAAAATAATATGAAATCGGAGCTCTTTTCAATCAGAATAAGAATTGCACATCATGCTTTGTTTCATTGAATAAACTACAATTTGCAAAACATGAATCAAAACAAGCCACATTATAGCTCAATGCAATATGTGAATCCTATCCTAAACAGTTTTATCTAAGTAGACCTATTATCAATTCTTCTGAATACATGAAAGCTGGTAGTCAAGACAGAGGACTATGGAGGTAGAGCACCTGCTATCTTCCTCATCTACTTTTATTGTTTTTACTTCTAACTAGAATATATTTAGACTGTATTTATTGGCATTTTGCTTCTAGAATACATAAAGTTTTGCTTAAGAGTGCTAATATTTTGGTTATGATGAATATTCATGCCAGCTGATGCACATGCTGAAGAAAAAGGGGCCACCAACATTAATGTGTATTCTACATGTTTTTTGTACCTTTTTTTTTTTACATATATTAGATAAAGTAGTAGATAGATAAAAGGAATTACAGTGTTATTTTTAAATTTTGCTTGGATTATACTGGTGATAACATTTTCCTTGTGAATGTACTTCCTTAAAACTTACAAGTGACCAGAACACTATGAGTGGTAACCAATGTCACACTGGAGTTGAAGTACATTTCTGCTGGGACTCTTTGACAGGGACTGAGGGAGAAGGGGAGAATCCTCCCCAGTGGGAAGAGACATCTTCTCCCTCAATTCCCCCTACCACAGATCCACCATAGTCCAGAGCTCCCCATCCCAACCTTCTGAAGTGTTTATGGTGTTCTGGGAACTATCAGAAGGAGGAGGAGGAGAGAAAGTGGGCTTCTCTAAACTTTCTTCCACCAGTGTGACATTGAATATTATCCTATGCTTGTTTGGCTTTTACTTAGTTGTTCTTTTCCTATATTTTTATCTCTGATGGTATGACTGATTTATATGACCCTGACAGAACTGAATGTCTCATATTCATAGCTTATTGAACTAAAAGGCATTCAGATTTCTTTTAGCTTTTCAGTATTAATATGATGTTTTTGGAGTCTGCAGATTTTAGTTCTGCGCTTGGATTAAATTCTTTTCATTTTAGCATCGGTTGCAGAAGAAGAGAGAGGTATAATTCCACGGGCAATTCAAGAAATATTTCAGATTATTTCTGAAAACCATAATACTGATTTTACAGTGAAAGTTTCGTACATAGAAGTTTATAAAGAAGAACTCAGAGATCTCCTGGAACTAGAGACCTCTATGAAAGATTTGCATATTAGAGAAGATGAAAAGGGTAATACAGGTAGAAATATAAATTTCAATTAAGTTTTTATTTGCTAATAATTTTGAAGCATTTTTAAAATAATTGTATGTTCATATTCTCAACAGATATACTTCTAAGATGGTAAGTTTATATTATTAAAGTTGAATTATTCAGGAGAAATATAACTTTCATTTTGATACAAAGTACTTTGTACTTTAAATGTGATGCTTTAATAATCTTTGTCAATGTTTTCCCATCATTTAAATCACTAAAAAAGCTCCTTTTAGCAAAGTTAATGTTTTTGCATTGTTCTGCTTTAAACAGACATCCAAAATCAGGAAAGGCCTTTAAATACCTGAGTATCTCTAGAATAACAATGCATGCACTGTTTTCAAATGTCCATTGCAGTGCTATATCTTACGAGTATTTTTTTTTCTCCATTTAAAATTTCCTTCCATCTTCTGTCTCACTCAGAGGCATAGTGGATCATCATAAAATTTGAAATTTTCATACAGATATATACATGTACCGGTTTATCCAAGAGTTTCCCCTACTTTATCTTCTATTGATTTTGCAACCACTTTTTGTGCAATTTAATATAGCTAAAAATATTATAAGAAACTAACTTACACTAAGTGAGATCACCAGTCTGTCAGGCTCAGTGTTTACGCTGACAGGCAGTACCTTTCCAGGATTTCAGACAGGTTTCTTTCCAGTTCTACCTAAGGTAGCAGACATTGAGTGGAACCTTTTGCTTGCAAAGCATTTGTTCTACCACTGAACTATTACCTTTGTAATCTACAAATATATGTATGTTATACTATATACGAATATTCTCAAATACAAGTATGTAAGGGGCAGAACTTGTGCTGTGATATCACAACATATATTTTGTCATTTTGATGAAAGCTTCATTTGTGCAGACACCCATGGTTGCTTTTTTTTATAATATTGGATTTTGTGTTAATTCTTTCTTGCTTAAAAAATAGCTTGATTACCTATATATTTTTAAAAACTTAATCTGAATTTTTCTGAAAATGCTATATTTATAACCTTTATTTTTTAAGTAATTGTTGGTGCCAAAGATTGCCAAGTGGAAAGTGTAGAAGAAGTGATGAGCCTGTTGGAAACAGGGAATGCTGCTAGACATACAGGGACAACACAAATGAATGAGCATTCCAGCCGATCCCATGCTGTTTTTACCATCAGTATTTGTCAACAACAACAGCCTCTGCAGAAGGACACAGACTGTGCACAAAATTCATCCCAAAGTTCAGGACAGTTGATTGCTTCTAAATTCCACTTTGTGGATCTTGCTGGATCAGAAAGAGTTACAAAAACTGGCAACACTGGAGAAAGATTCAAAGAATCAATTCAGATCAACAGTGGTTTACTAGCTCTGGGAAATGTGATAAGTGCTCTTGGAGACCCAAAGAGAAAAAATGCACACATTCCGTACAGGGATGCTAAAATCACACGCATTCTTAAAGACTCTTTAGGAGGCAATGCAAAGACTGTCATGATAACATGTATTAGTCCATCTTCTTCTGATTTTGATGAATCATTAAATTCCATCAAGTATGCTAATAGAGCAAAAAATATTAGGAATAAACCTATTGTCAACTATAACCCAGACTGGGATCGTATAGATGAAATGGAGCTTGCAATCAAGTTGCTTCGGGAAGCCTTGCAAAACCAACAAATTAATGGACAGTCCTCTGGTAGTCAAGGAACGCAGGATTTATGCCAAGACAAAAACAGAATCCGTTGTCTTGAACAGCAGCTTGCTCAGTTTCAAATCGAAAGTTTTAACTTGCGAAATTGCATAGAAGAAGCCTATTTATTTCTTGTTGATTTAAAAAACATTGCTAGCCTATCAAAAAATCAACTTGAAAAACTGCAAGAATGGATCCATGTGGCTCAGGAACTTAGGAGAGAGGCATCTGTTCCCCAGGTGAACAATGGAACAGTAGCTGACCAAGAAGGACCATATCATATCACGATTCTCCAGCTGAAGAGAGAGCTGAAGAAATATCAGGTACTTACTGTACATTTAATATACAGGCCAATAAAAGATTGTATACAGAAGTGTTGTGTGCACATTAACGCAGAGCTTTGTTCAACTGAGTTTACTTTACCTCCCTATTCCAACATGCCAGCATGATCAGTGCTACAAGATAATTTGAGAAGCATATTAGACAACCAAGCATGATAACAGTACCTCAGTTTAGTACAACTCAGTGTTATTAAAGAGATTAATTTTTATTTGGAAACGGTTCCATAGATAATCATTAATACAGCAGAAGAGTTCTTCCCTCAGGGAATGATGGATTTCCTTCAGAGGTCAGAGCTTTGGCAGTTCACCCCAGCCTGAGAAGTATTTCAGTTTAGTATGTTGGAACTCCTCTAGCTGCTTTTCCTATCACAGATCTTTTGTAATTTTTTGCTATTTTTTTTTAGCTCACAGACAATGAGGTGTTCTCTTAAAGACTTCAGTGTTCTTATCTTTCTCTTGGTTACCTAGAGTAATTTCATTCATTTTCATTTCAGCTTGACTCTTATTTCTCTATATAGTTCCTTGGTTTGCAAGTCTTCTGTCTCTTGCCTCTTTCCCCCTGTTCTAAAATGGTTAAGTTACATTTAAGTTGTCATCAATGAGTGTAGCTGTTACAGAAATGATCACTGAATATTGTGATTATAAACATTAGATAAAAATCAATAACTTATTTTATAAGTTATTTACCAGTCTTCACCAACATATCTGAGGAACACCAGATTTGGGAGGCTATAATATAGTATATAAAAATTACAAATAACATTATTTCTGGAGAATTTTATAACATTAGTTCTATTAGGGATCTTTTATAAATTATATGTACATTGGTTGTGTCATAAGCATGGTAAATCCAACATCCAGATATATGATTTTCTTCATTTAGTAATGTTAATTATGAACAAATAGTGCCCTTTGGGTTAAAAAATAGTTTTTATTTCCATAACCTGCTTATCAGAGCTAGCTTAGTGGAAGTAATATTCTGTACCTTAATTAAATTATTGGGTGATTTTAATGGGACATAAGCTTGAAATAGTTATGGGTGAATCCTAAATTATATTAGCAGAAGGGAAAATTACATGACAGGTCTTCCCCCCCCCCTTTTTTTAAGCTTCTGAAATGCCACTATGTATAATCAGGGGAACCCAATGAGCATTGTGAACTTTGTTTAAAAGTTTCTAGTAAAAGTAAGGAAGTCCCTCAAATCTAGAATTTTGTATTTCCTATGCAAGGCTCTGGATTTTAGTAATTCAGTACTTTTGCCATCCATTTGCACAACACTGAATTTAATGCACTCTTATATGAAATTCTTTCTTATTACATGTGTGTGATACTACTTGTAGGAAACAGGAAATGTATGTCTTGATCATCAATAGTAATTGCTTCTAATAAGTAAATTCTGTTAAAGCTGCTTTGCTCTTTTTTCCTTATTAATACAGATTTGACTGTGTGTCAGAAAACTACATGTGTCTCTAGGTTAGGATGTATGAGAGCCTGCAAGATAGTCTATAGATCAGAGATTCTGGCTTGCACAGAATAACATGAACATACTTGGGTTTTACTGGATGCGCTTGTGGCTTAATGGCCAAAATCATCTTTATCATTAGCATATACAGGTAGTTCCCAGGTTAAGAACGCTCGGTTTACAGATGACCCATAGTTAAGAATGGAGCCTATTGTAGCAAAATTTGAGTTAAATACACAGTGATTCGAGTTACATACGCAGTACTACTTATACAGTATTATACAATAATACTGTTCTGGCTTACATATAGATTCGACTTAAGGACAGACCTTGGAACGGAACTCGTTCTTAAACTGGGGACTTGTGATGGAATGAAACTATGAAGGCCAGGCTCAGGGAGATAAACATTTTCTTAGCTCCCCAGAAGAGCATGGGAGGAACAAGAGG